AGAGGGAGAAAAAGACAGATAGACAGACAGATCGACAGACCGACGAACTGGACCACTGAATCTGATGAAGAGAACTGATGAACGGCTGGTTCGTACAACTTAAAACCTTCTATAGACAGAGCTGGCTCCCCTAGATGGCTGTTCCGGCCCTCCCATGTCACACAGTCTTCTTTCCTCCTGTACCTGAGTCGCCTACATCAGCACATACACCAAGAGGTAAGTAAGGAATGCCAAGGGAGTCATTCTCCTTGTGACTCAGAATTCCAACTTGGAAGTTTCTTGCCAGAAACTTATAACAGACCCCAAAGTAAAACTTGGAATTACTCCAAGAAAATAAATTAATCCTCAAACATTTTCTTTTTAATATAAAGATATTATTTGCATAATTTATTAGGAGAGAACTAAAAACAAAATTTTTAAGGCCATCAAGTGGTATCGCCTCACAGTTGGTAGTAAAATGACCCATTGGAAACTTCTGTCCTCTTTGCAGTGGAAGAGGAATCTGGTGGCCCCATAGTTGAGCGGCATTTGACCTAGAAATCTTCGGCGAGTGACAGAGTACTAAGTATCCTGCGACCCTCCATATGTGTCTGTGTCAGGCAGGCAACACTAATTGCTGTCAACTTATTTATTAGTAAAGGAAAGGAGCATAAAATTCAAGTAAAATGCGCACCTACTTTGGAGGAGCTTATGGGCTGAAGAAAAAGGAAGTACTTAGACATCAATCACAGTAGTGAGATAAACTATAAAAATGTTGGCCAACCTCAAGCAATGCATCAATCCCCTTAAAAGTGAAGAAACTGCTAAACCCCCGCTGTTGAAAAAAATGATCCTTACACTAGTGTGACTAGTCAGTCTCCCACACAGATCCATATGATCATTCCTTCTTTAATTTTCTAAAGTCAAAGAAAATTTTAAAAAGTTAAGGACAAGCAAATCTGTATAGCTCCCATTAAACAAAATTGCAAACAAGTGCTGTGAAGGAGTATTTGCTGCAACTGAAATGCACAGATGTGGTACCCAGGACGTGGGCATGTGGTGTTCACAACACGGCATTGCTCTTCCCTCCTGGCTCTTGGGCCATGTGACACCCCCCCCCCAAGTTCTCCTTCAGCCTGCTCCACAGCCTTGATGTGAGCATTGTCACTTCATTTGGCCCTCATGCAGGCGTGCTGCAACTCTTTTTTCTCCTCAAAGCCAACAGCAATTAAATTAGGGGTGCCAAAATGACAAACCAAAATGCAGGCCCCCCAAATCATAACCTTGGCTATTAGATCAACCTCTAGAGGTTTAAAACATTATTTGAGAGAATCAGCAAAATAGACACATAAAATCTAAACCTGTCCCATAGAATATGTGGCCCCCCAGGCATACTTGGCATCTGCCTTGTTCCAAATTGTCTTTTAATGCTGAAATTTGAAATCAGAACCAATATATATTTATAGGATGGACAGAAATGTAAATGTAAGATTATGAGCAAATGAATGAGTTCCTATTCACTGCTAGCTCTACCACCATCTGGGAGCACGCAACAGTCCAAGCCCAACAGTGTCATGAGGTCCTCATATTCTTGCAAATTTCCATTTCAGACTCCAGACACTGGTTTGAGGATAGGAAGCTTTATGCTGTAGGATGATCTCGTCATTACTCAGCTCCTCAAACCTCTTCTTAGGTAAGGGATGTTAGCAGAAGGTGAGAACACAATAGAGTCATCACTCACTGGCTTTTTTATACACCCAAATCACTAAGAATTAGAAAGTATCTTCTAAAGTCAAAAGGAATTGAAATTTTATCTTCCATTAAATCACATTTTAAATAGAATATTGAAGTAGAAAGATCTTCCTCTGTTGGGAAAGGGGTTGACAGAAAAGAATTAAGATGTGTTCTGTAGAGAAGGTCTTTGAATGTAAGCTCCAAGAGTGGGGACGATGTGCCCTGCATGCTCAAGAGATGATGGTGATGGGGGGCAGTGAGTCTTGATGGTAAGGTCAGAAACTGAAATCCCTACTTTTTTTTTGCTTGCTTTATTATGATCTCAAAATTAAATGGGTAAATGTTTTCCCTTTTGGACAAGTGTCCCAAAAGCTAGCATTTAAATAGACAGCGGTTTTATTTACTTATTTATTTTTGGTGGAACCGGGGATTGAACTCAGGCCTTTGCGCTTGCCAGGGAAGTGCTTATTCCACTGAGCCATCTCCCCGGCCCCGCTAGCATTTAAATAAAAGGGCAAAGAAAAAAAAAAGATGAGTTATATACGTGTACAAAGTGTAAACATTATTACGTTGTACATGTACTAATATAAATAAGTACATCAAAATAATCACAGGCTCTTTTCCTCTTACCTGCAACGTCCTCTGGTTTGTTTTCTAATTTATGGAAGAACTGAACTAAAGTTGGAGAATGAAACCACTGGTGCTTGGCTAACTGGATTATGATAAAGCAGTGACCCAAAGGACACCCTGACTCTTGCAGGTGTGAAAAATGGTGAGAAGCCACACGCATCAATGTAGGACCCTTATGATTCTGCCTCCATTGCAGTTGTCTTTTCTCTATAACTTGCTGCAAAATACTATCATTAAATAAGTTGGATATAAACATTTAGTTAGATGATATGTTCAATCAGTGTAAGAGGCTGGGAGCCAGCGAGATAGCTCAGTGGTCTAAAGTGCCTGCTTATGTAAGTTTAGGCCAGCACACAGGGACTGTGGTTCAATCCCCAGCACCACGTGCCACACCAGCCATGCCCCCAAGATAGGCTGACACAGCCACCAAAGACAGAGAGAGAGAGAGAGAGAGAGAGAGAGAGAGAGAGAGAGAGAGACTGGGGATATGCACACCAGGGTTGTGATTTCTTCTTTATTCATAGATTTTTAGAATTTAACAGGATCTAGTAATCAGTTCAATAGGGATTCTCAGTCCTAGATGCACATCGCCATCACTCTACAGCTGTTGGGAACTCCAGTTAAGAATCACAGGGAAAGTACCCATGAAATCTCTCCAGATAATATTAAGGGTAGATTTGACTTTGTCAGTCTACAATAATGATATGCAACCTTGACTACGCACTCAAATCCAACAGAAACTTAGCACATAAAATTCTCCTGTCTATCAGTAGAATCTGGGGCTATGAGAAAAGTTACACATGACTCTAAGCATTTTACAGCACATCTAAAATATGTTTTTTAATGAGGTATAAAAAGTAAAGCGGGGCTAGGGAAATGGCTCAGTGGAATAAGCGCTTCCCTGGCAAGCGCAAGGGCCTGAGTTCAATCCCTGGTTCCGCCGCAAAAAAAAAAAAAAAAAAAAGTAAAGCCATATTATGTGCTGAGCTGTAAAAGGCTCAAGTCAACAACTTCTGACATTGCCAGTCCTATGGATAACCCACTACTATTATGGACTACTGGACTATATTGGATTATTTTGCTGAATTCATGTATCTACAATATTTAAATGGCAATGGAATACCCATCTACGACAAAACTAAACAAAAGAAGGGCATACAAAGGAAGGACCATTTTGTATCTGTATATACAAAATAGGATACATATACAACTACTTTCTCTTAATTCAATGAGAAGAAAGATTTATACTAATAGTGTTTGTAGACAGGATATCATGTCTGTATCTTGTACTATGAATAACCACTATGAAGACAACAATATGCCATGCATTAATTATTGAAACTGTCCTATCAACCTGTTTTGAAAATGTTTCATTGCTATTTGTCTCTCAATAAAATTAATTAAAAAATATGGTTTTTAGGGCTGGAGAGATAGCTCAATGGACTAAGCACCTGCTTATGCAAGCCCAGGGATCAGGGTTCAATCCCCCACATCACATGCTGCACCAGTCCCACCCACAGGTGTGCTGAGCCTGCCACCGGGTCCAGGTGTGACAGTGCATGGCTATAATCCCAGCACTGGGAAGGCTGAAAACAAGGGGAACCACTATGAGTCAAGATGTGTAGTGAGACCCTGTACCAAATACATTTTTAAAAAGCAGAAATGAGGGTCTGGATACCGTTATGGCACCTCTGTGGAATCCTTGGGCTTCTAAGCAACACCATTTCTCTCCAGTATCATTACTGGCTAGCTCAGGTAATCGAGGCCAGGCAGTAGAAGGTCTCCTTTATGTCACAGAGAATCAGAAGCCATGTTACATGGTGTAGTAGTCTGTTCATATTTCATTAAGCTCTTGCCCCTTGCCGATTTGCTGAAACTAAACAAATGAGCCACATGGAAGCAAATACCACAGTTTCCAACTTGTAAACTAAATAAGAAACAGGAGTGAGCAGTTTCCTGCAACTGGCTATGAGAGACGGCCTTGCCAGGCAACGATAAGGTAACGAGTACATCTGTTATCAATAATCTTACACAAAAGGGAAGATTTAGATATGCTGAGATCATTCATTTCTGTACTAAAAAACCAAAATATGTAGAAACATTAAAGACAGAAAGAAGAAGGACAATGTCTAATCTCTATTTTTTCTTGTTCCTTTCCAGAAGAAATTTACTGTGTGGAGAAGAAAGCTAAGTCTCAAGACCTTATGTGGACAGGCCCCAAGCTCTTGGAAGGGGCCCCAGTCATGCATGTACAAGCCCACACTTCTCGGCAACTGGAAAAAATAAGCTGGTTAATTTCAACTAGTTAAACCCTGTTTTGTTTTCTCTATTCTGAAATCCCTTCCCATCAGGCGGCTTCAGAACACTCACAGGTGCTTGGGAGTCCTGAGGAGAGTCGCACGCCTCAGGCACCATAGAATATATTTATAGGGTTACAGTCACCATGCTGAAGAGAGACCCCACCACCCGCTCTGCTGGT